AATTCGTATCTTTCGTGTAGTACGCATGTGATATTACGTGCGTTTGTACAATTGCGAAATCTGCGAAAGGCGCGTTGTCCGAATTCCGAAGAGCGCAGAAGAAATGTAAGTCTAATCGTTGCATCAAGGAGAAAGTGGTCATCGATGAAACGTTGAGAATTTGGAATAATAATTTTAAATAACGTACAAAATATATTCCTATTTCTTATGTTTGATCATTACTTTTCACCCACAGTAATTCGATGAAAAGTACAAAATGTTTATCAAAAACATGTTAATGATGACGCAATAATAAACATATAAGTACAGGGATTCATAATTGCAAAGATTCGCTCACCAGAATTGCAGGAATTCACTCGCCAAGTAGTAGATAGCTGCTCCGACGGCATCAAATTTTGGCTGAATCTCGTGGCTATAATTCCGCACTATGAACTGCTTCGTACGAAATCGTGTAACAAAAGAATGGAACAATTCTTTACAAGTTGCAAAGATAATTTCATACATCATTAATAATCATAACAATCATGTACTTATTGCAAGTATAAGAAAAATTGGAGAAAATATGTATAAATGAAACATTAAAGATTTAAAGCAATTATTTTCAATTATAAGTACAATGTACTTGTAATATAATCATGATGCATTTACTGCAAATAAATAAAAAAAATGAGAGAAAAAATAAATTGATAGAGTACTGAAGATTTGGAATGATTATTTTCATGTCATGTATTTTTACTTTTGTTTATATTTGATTGTTATTTCATTTATATTAATGCAACAAAAACATAAAATATATGTCTATTAAGAACATTATGACACAATAATATACATGGTATTACGAATAACCTTACACAAGTATAACGAGTAACCTTACACAAGTTCAAATACTAAACAAGTGCAACAAACAATTCTTTAAGTGATACAATGACAGTTCAAAATTTCACATACCATTAATTATAATGATGAACTTATTGTAAGTATAAAAAAAATATAAAAAAATATGAATCGATGGAAAACTAAAGATTTGGAATTATTTTAAAATAATGTATAGAATATACTTATATTTTATATTTCATCATTATTTCATTTACAATAATATAATGAAAAGTATTAAAAATGTATCTATTGAGAATATTATTATTACGACACAATAATACTTATGCAAATACAAAGACTCAATTGCAAAGATAAAAATTCACTCACCAAGTAGTAAACTGCTTCACAGCACCAAAATTTAGCTGGAATTGTAACTTTTCATAATAACCATAGCCTCATACAAGCTCGAATACTGAAAGAATGGAATAAACAATTCTTTATACGATGCAATAACAGTTTGAGACCTTATGTGCTCTAACAATTGCGTTTAATTTATAACAAATATGCAGGAAACACGAAGAACATTGATATCAATAGAATACTGATAATTGGAAATTATAATTTTGGGAAGACCAGCAGAATTTACGATGTTTAATTGCTCATAAAAGAGATTGAAATTTGTGTCTATCGAGAACACAATTAATATGACGCAATAGTAAATAGGCAAGCATAGAGACGCAATTGCAAAAGAAAATTCACTTACCACTAATATATCCCTTCTAACTGTACGATAATTTGGCTTGAATTTCGTCGCCGCAACTTTTCACGATGATAAGCCGCATACAAGCACGAATACTGAAAGAACAGAATGAATGATTCGCTACACGATGCAATAATGGTTCTCAATTTTACGCGCCATTAATAATAATGGCGATTCATTTATAGCAAGTTAAAATCCAAAGGTAACGTCACGAATGCGCGAAAAATAGTCACCACTCTGCGCAATGTGTAATACCGCGACATCTGTCGTGTTCTGCGCGTTCTATTTGCAGAACGCTTTTACCGACTAACGAAATTACCGACCTGGTTACTGGACTTCGCTATTCCTCTGCTGCTTAACCTTTGCATCTTTTACACTGAATCACGATACACTTTAGAAAACTTTTAATGCTACATACCGGTTAATTATCCAATTCCACGAATATAAAATAACAGTCCCAGATAACATAAGCATTCCAGACTCATCTTAGACGTGTCCAAGATGTCTTGAAAAATGCTCCAGAACGTCTTGAGTGTGTTCAGAATAATCGCAGAACGTATTTTGCTAAGGACAGAACAATTACTTAATTCCAAAAGTAATATCTCGATGCTATTACAAAGTAATCTCATGAATGCATATTCTATACATATATATATATATATTGCCACACATATACATATGTACCACGGTTATGTACGTGTTAAGGAGTAATTTGACGAGTTGATCGGGAAGTAGACGTTATTACTGATATTGAGTGACGATATGCAGTTAATGATGAGTACTAACCGTAAATGAATCGCGTGACACATAATATGCGATCGGCCCCGCGATATTTTTCGTCTTACAGTGGACTCACCTCGCAATCAAACACTGTCCTGTACTTCTCGTCGATCGCGCGAAACCAATATGGCAACCGTTCGTTATACTTGAATTGGCGCGTAATTGATTTTAAATGATCGATAAGTACATATGATAATAACCTATATTTATATATTTCGTATTTCATGATTTCATTTATAATCCTTATTCATTTTTATTTGATTTGTAATCCTTATTCGTTCGGTTTTATACATCTCAATCGTGTGTCTCACACACACGACATTGTGTGTCAGACAAATTCAATATAATAAATATTGTAACGTCCGCGTAAAACTGATCGATATATTGCAGTAAAATCGACGTGGCAACTCGAATGTAGACGCAGCGTTTAATACATCGAATCGAATTCATTATACAATTTTAGCAAGAATATACAATATCACAAATAAAAGAAAAAGGAATCTCTTGCAACTATTCAGTTTGATGCGTTGGTTTGAAATAAATCCGGTATTGACGATCATGAAGAAGCATTCGAAAGTCTTATTACTCTTTTCATTATATTATTGTGAGTGAAATAACAATCGAAATAAAAAGATATATCCAAGAAATATTTGCAAGTAGCTACCTCATTATTCGGTGAGTGAATTTTCATCTTTGCAATTGTATATTTGTACTTGCGTATGTATTATTATGTCATAATGATCATGTTTGTCAACAAACACAAATTTTACATTTTACTTCGTGTGCTACTGCGAATGAGATAAGAGTGAAATATCAAGAATAGAAACATATTCTGAACACGCCGTCTTAAAATAATTAGTGTAAATCTTCAGTGTAAATCTTCAGTGTTTTATTGATACATATTTTCTTCGATTTCTCTTATACCTGTGATAAGTCCTGCATTCGAGGAAAGGACGGTGTGCCATCCGGTGTCTGGCGCGCGTCTATCGGGCAGAAACGACCATCAGGCGGGATGCGTGCGATTTCGCCAGCAATTTTCTCAAATCAACGAACCACCGTGAAAACGGCCGGCCTCCTCTCCGCCCCGATGTCGCAAACAAAACGCCTCTCCACGCACTCGCGAAATGCTCCTCAATGGAATCTGCGTGCGTCGAGCACGGCGTGCACACACTCGGTCGAGCGGCCTGAAATTGCTCGATCGCGCTTTTTGTTTGTGGTCACTCTTGAAGCTGGCTAGGACAAAGGGGTGCCCCCCAGTGTCGATACGTTTTCGCTTTGCCCGAGCGTTTCTAACTCTCTCCGTTTCTCTCTCCTTCTCTCTCGCTTTTTCTCTGATTACACCCCTCTTTGTGGCGGCCGCGCTCTTTTTCGAGTTTCGAAAACTGCAAGAGCATTGTTTCGCCAGTGCTCCTCCGGGTCGACGCGATTACTTGTTTTCCCATTCTGCCCGAGTCACCTCGCAAGCAAGCAAAACGGTCCGCCAGCCGGGCACCATTCGGAAATCGGCTTTCTTTTGTTCGAGTGCGCTCGTCGCGATTCGCCAATGCATTCCGCGGAGAATTTCGTTGTTGATTCAGCAAAGTCTCCTATCACAGGCGCAAATACTTTTTATGCAACAACAGAATGAAAAAAGACAACAACTTTTATTTCAAAATAATATATCTAGAACCGGTATTTTTCCAGGAAATATTAATAGCCACTTATATGAATTATACGCAAATTATATCTGAATTAAACGCGACGCACGATCTCTAATAAAGTCTTAGTTATTTCCTTATGTTGATTTGAGTATTTTTAAGAAAATGGATTAAATTGATAAATGTATTTTTAAGTGAAGAGTATTTTTAAGAAAAAGGATTAAAGAGATATAAGTGTAAATAATTTCTCTCTCACCAAGTGAAGTCGACAACGAGAGTCGCTAAGGAACTCCTATTTTACGAAAATCAATTAAGACTCCTGTTCCTTCATTGCAAAACTTTTGATTAGTGACGTCAAAAGCAAGGAAATGCCAAAAATTTCTACAGAATACTTCAAAATAAAAAGATACATTAAAAAAATGACATTTGCAATCAATTAAGTATACTAAGCCTGATATGCCATCTTCCTTACAAGCTATATTTCCTCATTATTTTGTCACGTTAATTTTACGACTATTTATTGATTGTTAGAGCAACAGGAAAATATTCTAAATACTTTAGAGATGTGCTTAATCGATGCAAATATCATTTCTTGGAAATATCTTTTTATTTCGACGTGCTTTGTACGTAATTTTGGGCATGCATTTCCTTGCTTCTAATGTCATAAATCAAGGTGGATGCAGCGAGGAGGCAAGAGCCTTAATGGCAAAATATTGCATATAAACGCAAATGAGACTTATGTGTACAAAGATCAAAGTCATAATTCTTATCTTATCATAATGATTCGACAACGTATTTATATATGCTGTCCAACGCTAAGTAAATGGTGTATCAAAACTTTCCTAGAGAAATAATTAAACGAAACGCCGAATGAATCGCAGTATAATCATCGCACGGTTGCAACAGCGAGCAACTGCAATTCAGCTGAGACGCGCGATGCTTTATCTCGTATCGGCCTTTAAATTTCGTCCATGTATGGATATATTTATTCGCTGATAAGACACTGGGCGACAAGAAGGGGACAGTAGGTGAGACGTCCGAAAATTGTTTGGACAGCATAACCGAGCTCCAAGCGGCGCTTTAGAAGATTCGGTGAAGCCTCCTCATATCATTGCATCTCGAGATCCCGCTCGTTCCGGCGAGATGAGCAACAATGATCTGTGGATACGTGACATACTCGCGAGTTACGGAGTAATTGCGATGATCATTTTGTGCATTGTGATCTGGGTAGTCCAGGAATTTCCAAAATTACGAAGAAACACTTACAAAGCTCACCTTTTGGGATTTGAGATGGAATGCGCCGAGCTGATCAGTCCATACAAAGAGCATCTCTTCAAAACGTTACAATATATTGTTTCCAACGACGAGATACTGCGATCTATGGGCTCCATTCGTGTACTCGAGATCGGCGTTAAGACGGGTGTGAATCGGACCTGCATACAGTATCCCCTTGCGATTTTACACACGACGCATTTGCGATATACAATTTAAATTCCGCTGACTCAGAAAATCCCGTTGAAAGCTTCCGTTTATGTTCAACAATTTCTTGATTAGTTCCTTTAGAATAAACGTTCGGACTCTCCGTAGTTCTGACTGAAAAAATATTTTTCTGTAACTGCCTTGTGAAAATTCTTTTTACAGATATTCTTACATCAACATATAAACATATCCGTGATAGACTTTTCATAAATATGTAGCGTAACAGACTAATTAATTAATCTTGTCAATTAATCAACTCATGAATACAATGAGTTCATTAATCTATTAATTTGATTACGTTTTAGAAAATACAGAGTGAACTAGTTGTACAACAGTAAAAGATTCTGTCGTTATCATTTCATATACGAATTAAAATATTATTTCAGGAATCATAAACATTTCAGAAATCATTTAACATAGGATCTTCACAGGTGAGAACATACGATTTTATCCGGAAGGTACTCATCTCATCGGCGTTGATTGGAACATCAAGTTAGGTGAATATCTGGTGAAAGGTAGACGTTCGTGGCAATTTTCTCACGTGATCATTGAGCGACTGATCGTGGGCGACGGGAGTTCCTTGAAGGGGATATCAACAGGTTGTGTGGATGTGGTGGTGACAACTCGATCATTATGTTCTGTGAAATCAGTACGAACTACCCTTCAGGAGATTCGCAGAGTGTTAGCCCCGGTACGACTGACTTATACAAAATCGTTGATTGTGAGCTGAAATCAGAACTTTGCTTCGCGCAATAATTACAAGTCAAGAAGGTAGCAAAATCAATTTCAAATCAGTTGATTGGCCAGTCAGTTATCTTCTTATTTATTTTATTTAGTTGACCAAACACGAGTTGGGTGTTGATTACTAGAAATGAAAAATTTGCATGACTAAGAAATTACAAAATTTTAACATGTATACGTATTCTAACTTTCGTTATGAATTTTCAGGGCGGAAAATACATTTTCGTAGAACATGTGCTGGAGAAGGAGGGCACTTTTATACGATGGTTGCAAATAGTCTTGACACGAACGGGTATATGGCCTTCTTTATTTGGTGATTGTCATTTAGATGCTGATTGCGCTGCGGAAATAGAAAATACCGGTTTCGAGAAAGTATCATGGACATCCTTAGCTCTCGAAGGATATGTTTCTCATCCATTTCATTTATTTCTTTCTAAACAACATATATTTGGCATAGCAACGCGATAGAGGTAACATATGTCGGTAACATAAATTCTATCAATTTTCTTTTTTGCATTCAAATTTTAATAATTA